CATATCAAAGTTTTTTCCTGTCTTCATGCCTTAAAATATCTTGATGTAACTCGACACCCTCGCCTCATTTAGTATGCGTGGTTCTATGAATATGCAAATGAGCCTCAGCTCAGAGATCCACTGGCAGACGATCACATGTTGATCTGATTGGTTACAAGGTGGTTTGTGACGACCAGCGATCCTCTTGGATTTTAAGGAAACACACACACACACACACACACACACACACACGGTTCAAATAAGTGATAAAGTGATCTTCCTAATCCACCTGATCTGAAAGACTTCTGTGTGAGTTTAAGAAACCTGTTGCAGATGAAAGTACCATCACCTAAAAAAACATGGCGTTTTTCCCATCGTCCAGTTTGACCTCTGACCTCAGCGAAACCAAACCCAACGGGAAGCACCGCACAGAAATCCATCAGCATTTCAAAAAGGGTCAAATCTCTTCTGGAAGAAGCATAATGTGATATTGGCCAACCACATCTCCAATAAATCCCCAAATCATAAAAGAAGAGGAACGGCAGCGCTCAGCCGATTGTATCTGGGGCCGCTTGTAAATTCAATATTGTGTTAACGCTCAGAACGAGCCTGAGGAGACTGTAAATCCATACGCTAGATCAGGAATATAAACAGAAGAAGGAATTTCCTCACATTCTCCAGTCACACACGCGTATTAAACAAGAACAAAAGCCCATGAAATAACATTTGTCCAGGTTATTCATCATCACACGTGTGATTTATGTGCAGGAGGCTCATCTACGGGCGTCTGGGTCACATGATTTACTTCTGACGTGAGAGGAATATGCCCAGATTCCCTCATAACCACCGACATGCCGAAACATGATGAATATGGATTATTATAGCGGTTCTCAACCTCCTGAACTTCAGCTTCACATTATCCACACAAATATGCAAACTTTGTTCTCGGTCACAACCTTTTTAAAGGTTATTCCGGTTAAATAAAAGCATAAAAATATTTTTTTTTTGTTACGTAAACTGAAATGAGATATTAAAAAATAGGCAACATTCTCATTTACACTGTAAAAAAATATTGTTGGTTTAACTTAAAAAAGTAAGTAACCTGGTTGACTTAAACTTTTAAGTTGATTGAACTGGAAAAAGTGAGTTGATCATCAGAAACTCAAAATAATAAGTTATCTCAACTAAATAAATTATTATAAAGTTGATTTGACAAAAGAAAATATGTTGTGATAACAAATCTTGAAAATATTTTTTTTTACAGTGTAGCTTAACTTGATGCACTAAAATCAAATATTTTTAAAAAAAATAATAAAAACTGTAAAAAAATATTGATGGTTTAACTTAAAAAAGTAAGTAACCTGGTTGCCTTAAAATTTTAAGTTTATTGAACTGGAAAAAGTGAGTTAATGCAATGAAGGAGTGATTTAATCATCAGAAACTCAAAATAATAAGTTATCTGAACTAAATAAATTAAGTTGATTTGACAAAAGAAAATATGTTGTGATAACAAATCTTGAAAATATATTTACAGTGTATTGACTAACACTCGTTAGTTAACAACCTTAGTTAACATGAACCAAGAATGAACAATACTTCTACAGGATTTATTAATCTTAGTTTATGTTAATTTCAACATTTACTAATACGTTATTAAAATCAAAGGTTGTATTTGTTAACATTAGTTAATTGTGAACTAACACACTGTAAAAAAATATTTTCAAGATTTGTTATCACAACATTTTTTTTCTTTTGTCAAATCAACTTAAATCATTTATTTAGTTGAGATAACTTATTATTTTGAGTTTCTGATGATTAAATCATTCTCCTTCATTGTATTAACTCACTTTTTCCAGTTCAATCAACTTAAAATTTTAAGGCAACCCGGTTACTTACTTTTTTAAGTTAAACCAACAATATTTTTTTACAGAACACACAATGAACAGCTGGATTTTTATTAACTTATGTTAATAAATACTGTAACATGTATTGCTCATTGTTAGTTTATACATGAACTAATATTAACTAGTAAACCTTATTGTAAAGTGTTACCAAAGTAACCCATAAATATGACAAAAACACATTTCTAATTTAATTTTCATTTAACTTAATTTAACAAAAGTAATACAAATTTAAATATGAAAAAAATATAAGAACAACTAAGCTAAATAATTGCGTAAAATAATTATAAATAATTTAATTAATTCAATTCCAGAAGTTTTTTTTTTTTTTTTTTTTTGGAGCTGAATGTTCTTTATAACCAATGAATTTACTTAAATTTGCAGTAGTTTGTGAACGGCTACACATGGATTAATGAGAAACATTTTGAAATATGTTTTACTCACAAACATAATTAAATATAAGAAAAAGGTATATTCATTATTAAAAATCCCCTCTGTGTTTTAATATTTTATTCATTTCTGGATTTGAAATTAAAAGCCTTATATATCCATGTTTCTCAATACCATGAGAATCCTCATTCGTTGTTGAGGGAGTGAATAGAAATAAGAAAAAAACAGGACTTTTAGTTGTTTTAGAGCTTATTTTAGAGAACCACTAGATTATTGGTATGATTACATAATAATGAATAGAGTAAATATACTTAATTAGCTGTGACTGTATTTACTGTTCAACACCAGTGTAAGTGTAGTAATAGTTCATGAATAGAGTTGATCTGTATTCACTGTTCAGTGCAGACGAGCTTCATGTGTAAAGATCTCAGTGTGTGTAAGAGCAGCTGGACTCAGACGATTGAAGCCTTCTGATAAAGTGCAGGAAAAGCTGTTTTTTGTTTAAGCGTGACATCTCTGCCTTACAGCCGCGCTCTTCTACTGTATCTCAATCACTCAGGTCTCAAACGACACACAGAAATATGACTGAATAATCAAAAACAAGGAGAAACATGCAGCGCAGGATCAAACACTCCGCGCATGTGGAGGACAGATTTTAGAAACGGCTTCCTGTGATGTCGAGGCCAAACGGGCTTCAGAAACATCCGTTTCTCTCTGACCCGTATATGAGCTAAATAAGATAAATGCTCCTTTCTGTGTGATGTTTCTCGTCCCGCGAGGCTGACGGAGGCGATCGACTGCCTTTAGCTGACGGACGGATGGAGGGAGGGAGGGATTGATTTATAGGATGGATGGAGGGATGGATGGATGATGGATGGGTGGATGAGGGATGGATGGATGGATGGATGGATGGATGAGGGATGAATTGATTTATAGGATGGTTATAGGATGGATGGATGGATGGATGGATAGATGATGGATGGATGAGGGATGGATTGATGTATAGGATGGATGGATGGATGGATGGATGATGGATGGATGGATGAGGGATGGATTGATTTATAGGATGGTTATAGGATGGATGGATGGATGGATGGATAGATGATGGATGGATGAGGGATGGATGGATTGATTTATAGGATGGATGGATAGATGATGGATGGATGAGGGATGGATTGATGTATAGGATGGATGGATGGATGGATGGATGATGGATGGATGGATTGATTTATAGGATGGATGGATAGATGATGGATGGATGAGGGATGGATTGATGTATAGGATGGATGGATGGATGGATGGATGATGGATGGATGGATGAGGGATGGATTGATTTATAGGATGGTTATAGGATGGATGGATGGATGGATGGATAGATGATGGATGGATGAGGGATGGATTGATGTATAGGATGGATGGATGGATGGATGGATGATGGATGGATGGATTGATTTATAGGATGGATGGATAGATGATGGATGGATGGATTGATTTATAGGATGGATGGATAGATGATGGATGGATGAGGGATGGATTGATGTATAGGATGGAGGGATGGATGGATGGATGACGGATGGATGAATGAGTGATGGATTGATGTATAGGATGGATGGATGGATGGATGGATGGATGGATGGATGGATGGATTGATTTATAGGATGGATGGATGGATGGATGGATTGATTTATAGGATGGATGGAGGGATGGATGGATGGATGAGGGATGAATTGATTTATAGGATGGTTATAGGATGGATGGATGGATGGATGGATAGATGATGGATGGATGAGGGATGGATTGGTGTATAGGATGGATGGATGGATGGATGGATGGATTGATTTATAGGATGGATGATGGATGGATGAGGGATGGATTGATGTATAGGATGGATGGATGGATGGATGGATGGATGGATGGATGAGGGATGGATGGATGAGGGATGGATGAGGGATGGATTGATGTATAGGATGGATGGATGGATGGATGGATGGATGGATAGATGATGGATGGATGAGGGATGGATTGATGTATAGGATGGATGGAGGGATGGATGGATGGATAGACGATGGATGGATGGATTGATTTATAGGATGGTTATAGGATGGATGGATGGATGGATGGATAGATGATGGATGGATGAGGGATGGATTGATGTATAGGATGGATGGATGGAGAGATGATGGATGGATGGATTGATGTATAGGATGGATGGAGGGATGGATGGATGGATGGATTGATTTATAGGATGGATGGATGGATGGATGAGGGATGAATTGATTTATAGGATGGTTATAGGATGGATGAATGGATGAATGGATAGGATGGATGGATGGATAGATGATGGATGGATGGATGGATGGATGGATAGACGATGGATGGATGGATTGATTTATAGGATGGATGGAGGGATGGATAGATGATGGATGGATGAGGGATGGATTGATTTATAGAATGGATGGATGGATGGATGTATAGATAGATAAATGGATGCTAAATAAAAAAAAATATATATATAAAACAATAAACGATTTCTCCATTAAATAAAAACAAACTGAAACTAATATTACACTGCTGAAACAAACAAAACATTACATGTAAAATCAGAAAACTGCTAAAATAAAACCAAAATTTAAGAATTGAAACTACAGAAAGTGTTTAAAACAGACGTCGATCATTGAGAATGTGATAGATGAAGACAAAGAGTGTGTGTGTGTGTGTGTGTGTTTGCACCTGTCATTGATGGTCCAGTTGAGACAGAGGTTGAGGGACGTCAAGTTCCGGCACTTTCTCACGACCTCCATCACGGTCTCGTTGTTGAGCTCAGAGATGTGCCGCAGATCCAGACTGCTCAGCGACTGAAGCTGCACACACACACACACACACACACACGGGTCAGCTCGTCCCTGCAGGTGCAGTAAATGATCCACATTACTCATGTATACTCCTCACTGGAATATAAACGTCACATTATCCTCCGTGTGACTGTGTTTGACCTCCACAGAAGCATCTGACATGCTCTTTATGGACTGATTAATTATGGCCATAATCATAGTAATAATCACGATTATGTTGATCCGTATTGTAATTTAACACGATTAGGAGTGGGCGATGTAACCAAAATCTTATTTGGTGTGTGATCTTATGTAATCGGTAATGTCAAGGTGTCACGACAAAGATATCTCAAACAATGTCATATTTGCATTAAAAATGTCATAATGTCATAACAAAGCGAATGACACTTAACCCTCTGGGGTTGTTCGGCCCAAATGGACCCGAAAAATTTAAATAATTTTTTTTTTTTTAAATCACAGCTTCCTCGGAATGGTCCGAAATTTGGTGACTTTGTTGGTTTTTGGTATTTGAACACCCAAAAAAATTGGGGACGGGATGTGAATAGTCTAAGAGGTTGTAAAAAAAATAGTCACACTTGGGGTGTTCGGGTCCAAATGGGCCCAAAAATGTGAAAATAATGTGAAAATAAATATGAAATAATTTTTTTGTGCGTACAATCTACAAATCAGCCACAATCTTGAAAAAAAGCACACAACAGTGAAGGGGTGAATCTATAAAACAAGCAGACACACACACACACACACTTTTATACACAAACACACCAAAAAATTCAGATTATACATGTGTTTTGCATTTTTAAAATGCTCAGTTTGTCCACCAGATGGCATCCATCTTATTTCAAAAATTGCTTTTATGAGGCCTAGGCTTGACTCTAAAATGAAATACAGCTTTAATGTATATATATATATTAATATTTTTTCTATTATGTGCAATGGGGGGAAATTTTGTCATAATTTATGCATTAATGCTAATTATATATTTGTTTTATTTTTAAAATTTTCTCAAAACACCAAAAAAGAAAAGAAAAAATATTATAAAAAACGAGTAAAAAAAAAAAAAATCATGAATCCCGCCCTTTGGGTCCATTTGGACCCGAACACCCCGAGTGTGACTCTGAAACGAACAACCCCAGAGGGTTAATGACCGTTGTCCTTCATATTCATAACGTGTCCGTCTTATGCACACCCCTTCATGTGAAGTTGTTACCCAATAAAACTCTTGCTTGCTGATTCAGAAAACATAAACACATGAAAAACCATAACCACACACACACGGACTCGACAGCGAGCGCCGGCATGTTGTGCTCTTGACCTTAATGAAAGCGGCGATGTTCGCTCGCTCAACAAAACACTCCCTGCAGCAGATTACCCATGATGCCCTGCTCCGCTCCTGACCCACAACACCAGCGGGAGGATTGGAGGCACAACATCACGCAAAAGGTGACGGCTTGAAAAATGTCAAAGATCGTGTTTATAACTGCACATAAATTACACTCAGGGGTTATGATCATCATATTTACACTGTACACAAGTGGGAGAGATGCTTTTGTGTCATATCTGACGCACAAATCTCGACAGTCTATAAATGATCAACATGATCAAAACCATCTCCTCCAGTCCTGTCGCCTGATTGATAGAGTAAACTCTTTGATTAAGTGAAAGACTTTTAGTATAATTGTAAAAAAACAGAATAACTTTGATATTGCAAGTCATATTTCAACTGGACTGAAGCTTAGCTTTACTTGATTATGATCATTTTATAGAGCATTAAATATGATCATCAGGTTTATTTGTTCATCTCGTTATCATCATTGCATTGTATGTTTTAAAACTATACACTGAAAAAAATAATATGCTTTATCTAATCAATAAAATTGTGGCAACATATTACAAGCAATATTATTAATTCAATTGTACAAATTAGAATGAATTAGAACTATTACTCAATACTAATTTGTTCAATTTAATAAATAATATTGCTTGTAATCTGTTGCCACAATTTTATTTTATTTTATTTTACAGTGTAGAGCTTTGATCGTAAAACTAAGCATTTAAATATAATCTTGCTAAGACATTATTATAGACTTTATGTTAGTATCATCTCAGTGATTTACATTACAAGCATTACTTTTGTCCGTATAAATATTAGCATCTGCATATTTTTGCTCAGTTTGAATCTCTGAATAAAATTTATTTTCCCCCCATATTTTATTATATTGCCATATGCACACTTTTTTTCGTGACTCTCCTGTTCGAACTCGTTCATCAAAATGAACAAATCTTTTTCCGAGTCAATTCGTTCGTTTCGTTTGTTGAATGAACCAAATGACTCTGAAAAAGATTTGTTCATTTTTTTGAGTCATTTGGTTCATTCAACG